GTCCCAAGCTGGGGGTGGCTTGGGGAAGATTCTGTATTTTTTTTTTTAATTTTTTTATGTTTTATTTATTTCTAGGAGAGAGAGAGAGAGACAGCGTGAGCAGGGGAGGGTCAGAGAGAGAGGGAGTCACAGACTGAAACAGGCTCCAGGCTCTGAGCTGGCAGTCAGCACAGAGCCCGACGCGGGGCTCGAACCCATGAACCGCGAGATCATGACCTAAGCGAAAGTCGGACGCTTAACCGACTAAGCCACCCAGGCGCCCCGAAGATTCTGTATTTTAATACCCAAAGTCCGTTCCAGGTCACACTGTCCTTCTGGCCTGACGGCTTAGAGTGTGAATCATACTGCTTCAGATTTCTAGGAGGATGACAGGTAGGTACCAGGGAGAGGGAGAATGAACCACTGCAACTTATTTAGGAATGTATGTTCATGAGTTTAGAAGTTCATAAATCTGTCCTGGAATTGGTATACAGGGACATCGCCTCACCTTCCCTGCCCCCCTCATTAAGGAACTGCTACGCTGTGGCCGAAGTGGATTTCTACTAAGTATTAAACACACTGTGTTTCCCACTGTATTTCCGTAGGGACCTGTGCATGTTTCCTTGGCTACTCATACTTTATGGTAAGCAGGTTAAAGGAGAGCAAGGTGTTTCATCTAATGTCAAAATGATTAACGTAATTAAACATTCCATTTCTGGGGTGGGAGATACTTTCTACACGATTCCATTTAGCAGCAGAAAGTAAGAGCTTAAATATAATTAGCTTAACATTGCCAGCTGTACATCCTATTTACAGTGAAGCAAATAAAAATGAGAAGTAGACAATAGCTATTTTGATCCTTTCCAGATAGTAACCACACAGTGGCCTGCAAACCTGCACATGAGTGATCCCCAAAGATGCACAGTTGGTTTAGAGAAGATTTGTTTAAAGAGATTGGGAGAAAAAATAAAGAGATTGACTCAGCAAAAGGAATTACATAGAGAATACGTGAATGGACTGCTCAGAATTCTGACATAATCAATTTTCAAAAGTATGGGCTTTCAATATATACCTTGAAAACAATCTCCTAAAGATAGTTCCTTAATGCCAGAGTAACTAAAAGTCCCCCTGGTTTCTCTCTTGCTTCTGTAAACCCTGAATATGTTGAGTGGGACTTCTATCACAGCCTGTTGTGATCCTCTGATCACCTCTGAAACTGGAGGCTTCTTGTAGGCAGAAAAGCTGGCTCGTTCATCTTTGTCACTCATTTGCAAAGTATATGATGTATAGTACCTTCATGCCATAGAGACTCAATAAACAGGTGTGAACCAGACCATTCGTCACTGTAGGTCACATTATTCTGGAAAGTAATTAGTTATCTTCCAGTATCTGAAGAAACAACGGGTAAATGTCAGAGGAAGTGGGGAGTGGGAAAGGAAGGATGGCAGGCAATCAAATGAGGTTATGTTGAAATTAATAATTGGGGCACTTGGGTGGTTCAGTCGGTTAAGTGTCTGATTTTGGCTAAGGTCATTATCTCATAGTTCACTGGTTCAAGCCCTTCATCGGGCTCTGTGCTGACAGCTCAAAGCCTGGAGCCTGCTTCAGATTCTGCGTCTCCCTCTCTCTGCCTCTCCCCTGCTTGTATTCTCTCTCTCAAAAACAAACACTTTAAAAAAGAAATTAATTCTCTGATATTAAAAAAGATCAACTGAATGGACCCTTTACAGTCATTGAATGAGAAGCTATAAAAATAAAATGTTGATTTAAAATAAAGGTCCATCCATTTTGCTATGTGGTAGATTCCCTTGGTCTATTGTACTGCTTGAGCCATCCTCAGAGTTCATGAGCCCAACCTTTCACAGGCAGGAGGGCAGCCACATCGGAGCAGCAAGGATGGGCTGTGGCAAGATCCATGGGGGTTTTATCATGATTCTGACTTCTATTCAGAAAACAAATTTTCAACTTGAAAAATTGTAAACATCAGGGATGTCTTTTAAGGTTTGCCAGATCTATGTTCAATTTTTAATCCGTAGACTGAGAGTAGTCTTTTTAGATGCTAGATATTTATAAGCAAATCTACAATAATGTAACAGGTTATTAAACATTCCCAATTATACTTTGGCTCAGGAATTAGCTGGTCTACTCTCTTCACCCTCTTTTAGTGGGTAACACAGTAGATAAGACCACATTCTCTTCCCACTTTTAAAGCCTGCCGAAACTTGCCCTTACTTTTAGCGTGACAGGCAGATCCTGGTCCTCGTGGCTGACATGGCTCTGCAGAGTGCGCTGCTCCCCATTTTTGGCCCCTGACTACCTTCTTCACTGTGCCTTTATGCTCATTTCTTTAGTTTGTCAAGTTCTTCCCAGCCTCAGGCTCTTCCTACTGGTGGTGGCTTTACTGTATTACTGTTCTTCTTTCTTTGCTTAACCTGTTTATCAACTGGGGTTCATATTATTGGTCACTTAGGGAATCGTTCTCCTGACCCTGTCTAGGTTCTCCCCCTTTTCTACTATCATACAGTAACTTCTTCCCCACTGTTATTTAATAGCTTTTCATGCAATTCTTTAAAGTCTACATTCCATTCTATATGTTAAGTGTCATGGCAGCATTGAAAAGGTGTGTCTTGTTCAATGCTGTGTCTTCAACAACTGGCCCAGCATATAATAGGCACTCAATAAATATTTGTTGAATGATTGGAAGTATCTTTCAGCTTAAGTTGACTATAGATTTGAGGCATCAGGCTCCGTGATGTGCTGGACAGCGAGTGGACTCTGGACTATTTGAATTTGGCTTCTGTCTTTGACAGAAAGAGGGATGATAAGTCCGTTCAATTTACCAAACTTCACTGTCCTCATCCCTACAGGCATCATGGCACTAACTGTATCTCTAAAGAAAATGTATGAACATGGTGCTGCTTGAAAATGGTACTGCACTGTTCACCCTCATGCTACTAGTAATAATGCCCTGTGAAGAAGTGTAGCATTCTGGGATTCTGGGGAAGAATCTCTCAGTAAAGCAAGCTTCCCACTTTCCTCCTTTCAGAAATGCAAAGAGAAGACAGAGCATAGCCTCTCCTTAGTCTGAACTAGATCACCTAAAAAAGCCATTTTACAAGCATCTAGAAACCTGTCCCTGCCACCATGTAGATGGCCTCAAATTGAGGGAAGACATACCAGTTCCCATTCTCAGAGTGAGGCTGGGTTGTTTGGGGTCTTCCATTTGACTCTTGTTCAATTTTGTTTCTAACGTTTGTCCATATGTCAAAATAGCATATGGCTATTAGTGTTTACACTCCACTGTACAAATACACCATTTATTAACCACAGCTGCACATGGATACTAAGCTTTCTTCTAGTGTTTGACTATTTCTCTGACATCAAGGAGACAGGTTCTTCCTGTAGAGGTTTGAGATCTAGGGCCAACTGCAGTCTACAGGAGGTAGAGGGGCTTACTAACAGGAAAAAGGAGGAACACGTGGTCTGGGAAATGCACATGGCCCAACCACACACACCTCCAGCAAAGGTGGGGATTTTTCTCTAACCCAATTGTCAACAATGTGGCCATTCCACAAAGAAACCAGGAGAAACATCCTAGGACTAGACAGGATACTGCCCCAACCAATGTGAGTTCTACTAAATTCAGATGGACAGATATTAGTAGAGGTAGTCACGCTAGGTACACAGAATACTGGGTAGGTTCAACCATACACCCAAGATATGGAGAAATTGGTCTTGGTGCAAAAGCTCCCAGATATGTAGGAAATGCTGAGTAAGCCAAAATTCTATCGCTGGGTCTACTCCTAAAACTGACTCCTTTCCAGGCTCCTCAGGCTGCTGAATGACAAGACCTACTATGTAAAGGCATATCATCCAGCCCTCAAAGGAAGAGTGCCTGGGGACTCAGAGAAGTCACCTAAGGCACCACTGAACAGTGAGCTTTCAAATAGGCCCCAGCAGGGAATAAAAAAGTTCCACAACACTAATTATAAACATAATACAAACACAAGGGACTAAATGTAACACATAAAAAAGAAAAGAATAGCACACTTTAGAAAAGAATTGCCGTAAGACTAAGACAAAAGTTTAAGAGTAACTACTTTGTATTCTCAAGGTAATTACTCAACACACCATGTTGCTATAAGAGAGGTAATGAGGCAACAAACAGAGATAAAAAAGGATTTTATGAAAAGAATACAAGCAAGCAAATAATTTCATTGCAGAATTTAAAACTGCATGAAAAGCAGTAAAGAAGAGAATTACCCCTGAATTAAATGGAATTAGATTAGTGAAATAGGACAGTGGTTCACAAACCCAGATAAATATAGAGAAAAGGGATACTTAAAATACACATTCCTAGGATGAAATATAGGAGATTTTGAATCAGTGGGCCTTGGGTGAAGCTATGAAATCTAGATTTACAAAATTCCCTGAAGTGCATCCAAACATCAATCTGGTTTAGAAACTGGTGAGTGCAAACTTGAGACAAGAACCCAGAGTTCAGAGGGAGAAAAAACCAAATGGAATAATGAAAGAGGAATAGATGTACTAGAATTATCAACAAAGAATCTGTAGCAGAGGTATAATAGGAATCAATGAGGAAGCAGTCAGAGCCAATGCAACAGAACCAATCTCAAAAATATATATTGCAGGAAATTTCCCAGGAATGAAAAAAAGTATCTCTACTATAAAAGGGTTTTACTGTGTACTCAGTGAAAACTGATAAACATTTAGATGCTTTGAACAGTAAGTCTAAAAAAAAAAAAAAAAAAAGAATCCTCCCCAAATCCAGGAAAAATAAATATGTCCCATATGAAAGAAAAATAGGTCAGTGTAGTTTGTCCACGTAGTCTTCAGGGAGAATGCTTAGGCTATGATTCCCAAATTCACATTATCCACTCAAACTGCTGTCAGTATGAAATAGAAGGCAACGAGAAGACATTTTCAGCTGAGAAAGGGTTCTAGAACACTGATGTTCTCTATGGTAACTGAGATTTGCCAAGAGCATGGAAAATGGAATGCAGACATTGCTAAGTAGCATCATTTCTATGAAGAATGTAAACACTATCATTCTTGAAACAAGACGTCCAATTATATGAGAATCAATGATTTAGTTACTCCAGACCTTAGCCACTACAATCCAGGATATCAATCTCCAAGCAGAATAACAGAAACTGGGTGAGAGGGGAGCACACACGGGCAGCTGGAGGAAGAAACATGTCATTTTCCACGTGTAAACAGAGGTGAGTCAACAGACACTGTTTCATGCTGGACATTGATAACTTGAGAGACGTAGGTTTAGAACATGGGTTTTAAACATCACTCATTTAAAAATTCAATAGTAACTATCAGAGGAACTTAAAACAAGTACCATGGCTTCCAAATTCCTGGAGTGGGGTGGGGAAGGGAAAATGAACAACCCCCCCCCCAAATCGTAGAGTAAAAGTAAACCCCACTTAAAAAAAAGAGAGAAGGGGAAAAAGGAAATAGCAACAAATAAGAAAAGTCCAATGTAAACTAAGAAACCAGAAGAAATAACAAAATAATGTTTTACATATGCATATTCATAATATATGCACACATGCATAAACATATATATGCATATATGCATAAATATACATATGCATATACATTTCATAAATATACACATTTATGAAAGTCTGAGAGTATATACACCAAAATGTTGATGGTCATTTTCTGCATGGTGGGCTTAGAGTATCTTTTTTATTCTTGCTCCACTAAATTTAAAAAAATAAAAATTTCTGGCAATGATTACATATTACGTATGTGATTGAAAATAAAACATAAACCTAAAATTCCTCTTCATTCATTTGAATGAACACTGATCATGAAGCCACTCATTAAAACTAGAAATGACCGGCATAGCGGCAATGGCTGAGATTGGCATTTGCTGTGATTATGCAACTTGTTTCACTAATTTGACTCATTTCCCCAAACAGGATGCACAGGTGGCGTTCATTTATTTAGTCACAACACTAATTACTCTTTACAATTGTGCTCTTCCCGGGTTTTCTCAGCATAACCATCGCAATGGTAGGAAAGTGTCCTTGAATGATTGCTTGTGCATGTGTGTGCAGAAGGTGTGGGCCCTTGGCTTACAGCCAAATGACTCTGGATCCTCTGCCCTGTGGGGGCTTAGAGGTGACATTCTGGTCCCTTAGCACTATACACTTCTATCTACACTTCAGTCTCAGCCTCTGCCACAAACGGCAAACTGAGCAAGTCACTTCTTGAATCTTGCTGCTATGCCTGGAATGCTCTGCCCTGTTAGGAGGAGTTAGGGATACCCCCTCTAGGGCCCACAGCATCCTCTGCTTATCCCCTTATTTTCTCCTGTTGTACAGTGACTGCTTATTCGACTGTTTTGCAAAGGAAATGTCTGTCTGTAAAGGAAAACCTGGGGTGCCTGCTGGTCAGGAAGGTACGGTATTTGCCTTCCAGCATTAGCACCAGTCTGAAAAGGAGGAAGTGCTCAGTAGATACTCATACAGGGAGGGCTACTCTCACAGCTGATTCACCTCAGCTCCTTCTTCTCTGGCTTACATCTCATTTCTTTGTGGGAGGAATCAGAGGGTCCAAGAGGCAGCATTTGAAGCAGCCTGTTCCCTGAGCTCTGAGCTCTGTAGAGCCAACTTCTCCCTGTGCACAGAGGAGATGTTTCTACAAGAAGTTGGCAAGAGTTAAATGGCAAGTTCCCTGTGCTCTGTGGCTCCAACCTCATTGAGAATCCCAGATAGCTCATGCTTTCTTCTCATGTACCTCCTACACGAAGCCCCACCAATCTCTGTTAAGAAGCTGATGCCAGGCTAGTTCAGTTTTCTGTAGCATGATCATGAAACGTGTCACTACTGAAAGAGAAGGGATGTTCAAATATACCTAAGGCTGAGGTCAAATATTCCCAAACTGAAGAATCACCTCACTAGTGACTCTTTTTTAGAATATGAACTCAGCAATATTTTATAGATTTGCAAATGAAGCTCAAAAAAGGTTGTCCTATTTTCAGGACAGGCAAGGAGAGTATTAAATAAAGTAGGACTTGACTTACGGTAAATAAGCCATTAGAGTCACTAGGAGCTCACAAGACTCTGAAGAACTGGGGTTTGTATATTTCATTCTCCTCCCACCTCTGGATCACTGGTCCTATTGTCTCTACTACGTAACCTCTACTCCAGTCAGGCTGTAGTCCAGATGGTCCATCACCATGACTCTTGTGTGTGCCCCATCCCTCCATGCCTACTTCACAAAGTAACGGTTGTCTTTCAAGATGCTCAAATGCCTCCTCATCCACCAAGCACTTCACCCCACAGTTAGAAATATAATCTCAGTATTGGGGCAGCTATTAGTACTATGTCACTGCATTATAATTTATGTATAGTATAATCTATATATATAGATATTATATATCTTATATAATCTATATAATCTATGTATAGTATAAATAGTATAATCTATTTATACGCCTTCATTCTGTATTTATTCAGCAGCTAGATATTGAGCATGAAGCATGAGTCAATGAGCTCTATGAAGACCTGGCCTGCGCCCATCATCTCTATGACCCTAGATGTCAGCACTGCACCTGGCATAGGTGATGCACACAGTATTTTGTTGGTTCATGAAAAAAAGATGGGGAAAGCCCAGCTCTCTGATATTCAGGGATGACTATGCTTGTCACAGAGACACGGGCACCCTTCTATCGAAGGGAAACTACCACAATTTCTTTCTTTTTTAAACAGAGTAATTTTACTATCAGGAAGTTCTCTTCTAATCTGAATCACACCTCTCCTCATTCAAGCCTCCTCTTGATTCCCCCTTGCCTCAAAATTACAAAATGTTGCTCTTCATCTTTCTTAATATATGTGAAAATCATTCTTAACTTTTCTCAGTTGGTCTCAACTTCCCCAAAATGTGGCATTAAGGATTTCAATTACCTCTATTCTTTTCATGGAGGCCACTTTTCATGGCGAGAGCTCTTTTAAAAATATTTTCTCCTTGGGGGCACTTGGGTAGCTCAGATGGGTGAGTTTCTGACTTTGGCTTAGAAGTGGATCTCACAGTTCATGAGTTTGAGTCCCACATCGGGCTCACTGCTGTCAGCGCAGAGCCCGCTTTGGAATGACCGTCCTTGGCTCTCTCTGCTCTTCCCGAGCCCATTCTCTCTCTCTCTCAAAAATAAACCAACATTAAAAACATTTTCTCCTTGGACAGCTGAAGGCCTCTGCATCATGCTGCAGTTGTGGAGCCAGAAGCTTTCCAGACCTGGAGGGAGAAAGGGCCTTGGCTGGAGGAAGAGAAATCTCCTAGATCTGAGAAGAGTTCACGAGCCCCGCCTCTCAAGCCCTTTATCATGTAACATTCTTGCTGTGGCTCAACCAGGCCATCTGTTGTTACCTCATCCTTCAGTGTCCATGTTCTCTCCCTCCTCCATCTGTGCATATGACTCTCGGGTTTTCTACTATGACATTTCCCCACTCTCCTACCAAGTGAGGGGCTTGGGATTGGTTTTCCAAGGAACTGGCTTCCTGTACTATTTGGGAGGCTGGCTGCAAAGCTATGTTGTCCTAAGTACTAAATACAATATTAAATAATCCCTGGTAAAAGATTTTTAGGAATTACTATCTCACAACCTAGTGTGTTAAGTGTTCAATTGTGTACACTCAAAAACTCACAAGTGAAGTCCCAACCCCCAGTAAATCAGAACATGATCTTATTTGATGTTGTAGATCCAATTAGTTAAGATAAGGTCAAACTAGAGTAGTGTTGTCCCCAATCAAATAGGACTAGTGTCTTTATAAAGAGGGGACTTTGGGCAAAGACACACACACAGGAGAATGGTGCACGTAGCCGTGTAAGAAATTACCAGAAGCTGAGAGGGAGGCCCATAACAGACCCTTTCCTAGTGCCTTCAAATGGAACATGGCCCCCGTGGCACCCTGATGTCACACTACCAGCTTCTGGAACTGAGAAGACACGTTTCTGTTGTCCTAAGCTGTCGAATTTGTGGTACTTTATTATGGTGGCAATGAATACATGCTGATATACTAAAGGCTTTCTCACTCTATCTTGCGCTCCACAAAGTGGCAAGCCAGCTTCCCTTTAACATTTGTGCCAAGTCTTCCAGTTACGCCATGCTATCTACTACCTTAGTGAATGACATGGTTTCTCCACACTGAACCAGAGGACACTAAGAACACAATAGGAGGGTATCCGGTTGGGTGAAAGAAGGATAGAGAAGTAACATGTTTTCTTTGCATCAGGTGTGACATTATCTCTTTACTCCTAAAAACCACCCTGTGATATAAGTAGACTGTTCTGTATTCCATGTTCCAAATAAGATTTATCAAGATCTATCATCTGCCAACAATCACATAGCCAGACAGTGACAACACAGACATTTGAATCCAGTTCTGACTGTGAAGCTATTCTATGATCTTTCTTCTGGGAAAGGTAATTAAGCATCAGGATAGGTTACCTAACAAAGCTGGCTACTGTCATTTTCTTGAATGCTTAAAAACAGGTGCATTGTTCTTCTTTATGGATATGTTGCACATGGCTCTACCTGAAGTCAGGAGCATGGACAAATAATTTTTTAAAGTTCCTTTTGGATTTGTGATTTTTATGATTATAGAATTAGTCTTCATGAATTGAGGAAAAAAGAGGCTCATGCTTCAGGAATTTTATCCATGTAGTCCTCATTTAAAATGCTTGGCTCACTAGATTAAGGGGACAAGACTAAGCAACCGAGCGGGTCCCTAGTAATTGCTGGCTTTGGACCAGTAAGCCATGTCACTTACCAGTTCTGCTTTTCCACATCAGTGAGTGTCTCTGGCAGGTCCTGGGTCCCCAGGTACTAAGTGTTTTCAGATCCGTTCAAGGCAGGGAGACCAAGCATGCTGTACTGACATGTTTTCTTCAACCTCACTTCACCGTCTAGTAACCTCCTACAGGTTAGGCAATAAAAGTTTTATTCACCTAATAACGTACTCCCTATCTACAGACAGGAATCTTGGGATGTGAGTTTCTAGATTTAAATGTATAGAAATTAGGGGTGGGGAGAATGGCAAGATGGCAGAGAAGTAGGGAGCTCCGTGTATTTCGCTTGTACCCATCTCTCAAGCAAATACGGCCTGAAGTCACAGGACACTGAGCCACAGGAGTTTGGGAAGAGAAAGAGACAGAATACACTGGGAAGGAAACCTCGTAAGTGTGTGAGTGCGGACTGGGGAAGATGAAAGTGGGTCTGGACCCAGAAATATGGAGGGAGGGAAGGGAACCGGCTTGCATGCAGCGGTGGTGAGTGATGAACCATGGTGAGCGGTGGTGAGATGCCACGAATCCAGGGGAAAGGAAAGAGAAGCCGAGATTGCTCTTAGAACCTTCCCTGGAGAAGAGAAAAACCTCGGCTTGGAAAGAGAGTGTTTTTTAGTTCTGGCTGGGGTGCTGACTTTGAACTAGGTGCCCCCAGTCCCAGAAGACACCAGGAAAAACTGCACGGCAGTGCTCCCGGCCCCATCCCTGGTGGCGGTGGCGCAGACTCTGCAGACCTGAAGTTGCTACGTTCTGCACGCATTCGGGTTGTACCTCTGCTTGACCACGGCAGATCTGAGGCTGCGACACTTTCGCCACCCCCCCCCCCCCACAACCCTCGGGAGCAGGGAAGCAGCGACCTGTGGAACTATTTAGGGCGGGATAAACAAAGCCTGCTAACTGGGATCTGGAAACGAGGCGGGGCGTGGGGCATAGAACTCAGCCCATCTTGGTTACATCCTCACCACAGGGAGATCAGACCCAAAGGAGTGATTTGCAATGCTTGGTTGAGAAGGGACTGGGCCATTCTTCTCCCCACCACCACCAAGGCGGGGCCTCAGGGAGCGGCCAGCTGACACAGTGGAGACAAGACCTGCCTGCACTAAACCACATCCATCCCCTCCAGATAGCTGTCTTGTTGTTGTTGTTGTTGTTGTTACCTGAGCCTGGGTTTGCGTGTTTATTGGTTTTGTCTGTGTGTTTGTGTACCTTTGTTCCCTCTGTGTTTTTCTATTTTCTTTTTCCAGGGCTGCCTCAAGAAACAAGCCAAACCACACATGGTGGAGAGTCCCAAATACCAATATGAGTAGGGAAACAAAATAACCAAACACTCAACAAGAGAAACCAAGAGACACTATTCAAAGAACACTTCCTGAACAGACAGGCCCTAAACAGTCTAAGAGCCCTCTCTAATAGAGCAGAACTCGCAGGGGTAGAGTGTACAACAAGCTTTTAAAACTAACAAGAGATAGAAAGCTAACCAAAATGATTAAATGTAAGATCTCTCCTCCAAAGAAATACCAGGAAGAAATGACAGCTAAAGAGCTGCTCAAAACAGCTATAAGCAACATAACTGAACAAGAATTTAGAACAATAATCATAAAATTAATCGCTGGGCTTGAAAAAAATCATGGAGGATATCAGAGAAACTATGGCTACAAACACTATGGAGCTTAAAAATAGTTATGATGAATTAAAAAATGCGATAAATGAGATACATAATAAACTGGAGGTGTCCAATGCACGGATTGAAGAGGCAGAAAGTAGAATAAGTGATTTAGAAGACACTATTATAGAAAAAGAAGAAACTGAGAAAAAGAGAGGTAAACTGATCCAGGAACATGAAAGAAGAGTTCGAGAGCTCAGCAATACAATCAAATGGAACAATATCCATATCATAGGAATCCCAGAAGAGGAAGAGAGAGGGAAAGGTGCTGAAGGAGTCCTGGAACAAATTACAGCAGAGAACTTCCCCAACCTGGGGAGGGAAGTAAATGTTGAAATTCAAGAGGCACAGAGAACTCCCCTCAGATGTAACTTGAATCCATCTTCTGCACGACATATCATAGTGAAGCTGGCAAAACATAAGGAAAAAGAGAGAATTTTGAAAGCAGTTAGGTAGAAAAGGGCCCTAACATACAAAGAGAAACCTATCAGAGTGGTGACAGACCTATCTACTGAAACTTGGCAGGCCAGAAAGGAATGGCAGGAGATCTTCAATGTGATGAACAGAAAAAAATATGCCACCAAGAATCCTCTATCCAGCAAGCCTGTCATTCAGAATAGAAGGAGAGATAAAAGTCTTTCCAAATAAACAAAAACTGAAAGAATTTGTCACCACTAAACCAGCCCTACAAGAAATCCTGAGGGGGCGCTCTGAGGCAAATGTTGAAAGGAACGCAAGATACTAGAGACACCAACCACCAGAAGCATGAATCCCACAAACAACACAATGACTCTAAACCCATATATTTCCATAATAACACTGAATGTGAATGGGCTGAATGCTCTAATCAAAAGACACAGGGTAGCAGAATGGATAAAAAAACAAAATCCATCTATTTGCTGTCTACAAGAAATGCATTTTAGACTGGAAGACACCTTCAGATTAAAAGTAAGGGGATGGAGAAATATATATCATGCTACTGGAAGGTCAAAAAGCTGGAGTAGCTATACTTATATTAGACAAACTGGACTTTAAATTAAAGACTGTAACAAGGGATGAAGAAGGGCATTATATAATAATTATAGGGCTATCCATCAGGAAGAGCTAACAGTTATAAATGTTTATGCACTGAATATGGAAGCACCTAAATATTTAAAACAATTAATCACAACCAGAAACAATCTTATAGATAAGAATGTGCTAATAGCAGGGGACTTTAATACTCCACTTATAGCAATGGATAGATCAACCAGACAGAAAATCACTAAAGAAAAAATGGACTTGAATGACACATTGGACCAGATGGATCTGACAGATATATTTAGAACTCTACATCCTGAGGCCATGGAATTCACTTTCCTCTCAAGTGTGCATGGCACATTCTCCAACATAGATCACATACTGGGACATAAAGCAGCCCTCAATAAATATAAAAGAACTGAGATCATACGATGCATACTTTCAGATCACAATGCTATGAAACTTGAAATCAATCATGGAAAGAAGTCTGGAAAACCTCCAAAAACATGGAGGTTAAATAACACCCTACTAAAGAACGAATGGGCCAATCAGGCAATTAGAGAAGAAATTAAAAAATATATGGAAGCAAATGAAAATACAACAATCCAGACTCTATGGGATGTGGCAAAGGCAGTCCTAAGAGGAAAGTACACTGCACTCCAGGCCTATTTCAAGAAATTAGAAAAAGCACAAGTGCAAAATTTAACAGCTCACCTAAAGGAACTAGAGGGAGAGCAACAAAAGCACCCCAAACCCAGTAGGAGAAGAGAAAGAACAAAAATCAGAGCAGAAATAAACACTATAGAAACCAAAGAAACAGTTGAACAGATCAATGAAACCAAGAGTTGGTTTTTGAAAAAATAAACAAAACGGACAAACTTCTAGCCAGGCTTTCAAAAAGAAAAGAGAGAGCCCTCAAATAGACAAAATCATGAATGAAAATGGACTTATTACAACCAACCCCTCAGAAATACAAGCAATTATCAGGGAATACTATGAAAAATCATATGCCAAAAATTATATGTCCAAACTGGACAACTTATAAGAAATGGACAAATTTCTAAACATACACTCACTACCAAAATTCACACAGGAAGAGATAGAAAATCTGAACAGACCCATAACTAGTGAAG